TTGGTCTACAGGCACTGGTGATAAGCATACATGTATGTATGCACATACTTTTGAAGGATGCCATGACAACTAAGTGACAACTACGTTTTCATATTATTCACACTTTTAAAAGTCCGTATATATTTTTGTCGGTATTCTGGAATCAATCTTTTTTTGGGGGGTTAACAGGATGGTGAATACATGATTGTATATATTTTCCTTACAAATGAAACAAGTTATAATTTCGGTTATAGTTTATATATATATATTTGACCTTTGGTCAAAATAAGTCTGTATGTGGTCAAAAGCTTCTAATTTTATATTTTGACGAATAATGCATGGTTAACAAATAATGACATTGTGGAGCATATTTTTAAGACAAAGAAAACAACTTTAGTAAGAAAAAATGCACCACCCTACATTAATGCATATTTTCAGCCTTTTTTTTATAATCCACACATATAAACAGATATACATGTACACACGGTCGTATATGGGAACGGGGTTGAGGGGCTGGGGATAAGCCCCCCCCCCCCGTCCTAATGAAGTCGATAAATAAACAAGCTAATTCAGAGAATTTGTGTCCCCCGCTTAGGGAAAAATTAAAGTAAACCATGCGCAGTTCGGGGGGGGGGGGGGGGGGTCGGATCCCCTTGACTGAATTTGTTGAATTCTTAAATGTATACTGAAGCAAATAAAATTTATGAATTTGTAGAATTATGAAATGTATACTGAAGCAAATAGAATATGCCAATATGGATATTAAGCTTTTCGTTTCCACACGATATCTCGAGAACCCTTTGAGCTCTTCCAATGAAATTTAGCATAGCAACTCCCTATGGACTAAAAAAGAACCCTATTGATTTTGAGGTCAAAAGGTCAAAGGTCAAGGTCATAAATAAGCAAATTCTGTCTGTTACAATACTTTCGTTTCCACACAATATCTCTAGAACCATTTGAGCTATTGCAATGAAATTTTACATAACATCTCCCTGTGGCCTAATAAAGACCCCTATTGATTTCGAGGTCAAAAGGTCAAAGTTCAAGGTCGTAAATTTACACGTTCTGTCTGTGTGTAAACTATCAAATCCCCCAAACTGAAATTGCTTGCTTCAGGCCTGTTACATATATAAAATAAAAGCAGCCCAAGATAATTTATTTAAGATCGCCATTTAATACATCATCTAAGAAGATACTGTCTACCATGAATGCTCGTTTATTTCGTTGAAGTGATATTTTAATAAATTTAAAAAAAGAATCTCTCTCTCTCTCTCTCTCTCTCTCTCTCTCTCTCTCTCTCTCTCTCTCTCTCTCAATACAAGACTCTTTATAAAGCGCACTACCTATTTACTTGACTGCACGGATTTATTTTTTTTTTTTCAAGCTGTAAAAAGTAACCTTTCCCCATATGAACAAGGCGCACACTACGAGTAGTTTGTATACGTTTAATCACTGAAGCATGACAAACGTGTTTCCTAATCCGTCTAAAGTATTATGGTGTATTTTATTCTATTTGCTCGCTTTTTTAAAACATTGTAAGTGATTACAAAAATTTTGACTTGAGCAATTTTCAAATACAAAGTGGTTAAAACACTATACGTTCTATTTTACACATATACTTATTTCTTCCAATTTTAAACTTTATATGTGTACAATTACTGGTCCCGAGAAAACGGGAAATTAGGGAGAGTTACGTTCGTTCGTAAGATGTCGGTGTTTCTCTAAGGCCCTGTCACACCAAGCTGCGTTCACACGGAGTCATTACGGCGTTGTTAAATCTTTTAAATCGCCGTGGAATCGCAGGGAAATTGCACAAATTTCTGTAAAATTTTCATAATATGAAGATGTCACGGCGTCCCTACGGCGACGGACGCGATTCTACGGCGATCTCACGGCGTTCTTCTGCGTACCCACGGAGATCTCTCGGCGATTGACTGCGCTTCCGCGAAGTTTTCACGGCGCGTTAGGAGTTTTCACCTCGTGTTCACGGCGTTCTCACTGCGATGGCTGCGTTCACAATACGTTTACAATGCGTTCTATACTCATTGACTTAAATTCAGAAGGAATGTAAAACATTTTTGTTTAAAGATTCAAGTTACACGATGAGAATACTTCTAATCATGCCAAGAAATATTCTTATTAATAAAAAATATTCTATTTACATAATTCAGTACTTAATTATTAATAGTTTTATGATAAAACTCCCTTTTTTCAATTTCATCGGTTCAGAGGTGTTGTTAGATTTTCTTTGATTATATTATGAATGTAAAAAAAAATAAACACGCTGAAAAGTTTTCTACAAAATTTAAGTGAAACAACAGTACAAAATTTAAGTGAAACAACAGAACAAGTTCTGATGTAATTTTCTCTTCCATTTTTGTTTTCACTTAAATGCTCCAAGTGCAACAAATACGTTGGAATTACTGCTGATCAAATATGATCCCATTGCTCTTGTTTTGTGTGCTGGCTGACAACGCCCTAACAACGCCGTGAAAGCGCATTGTGATCGCCAACGGACGCTGTAGAAACGCCATGGGAGCGCAATGATCGCAGTGACGACTCCGTGCTGTCGCCGTGTAATCGCAGTCCAAAAAATCTCAAGACGATAAATCTTATTAGAAGCGCCGTAAAAACGCGATAGAAACGCAGTGACATCTCCAAGGACTCCGCGACATCTCCGTGAGGTCTCCGTGGAAGCGCGGTCTACTATCACTGCGTTTGTGCCGCGATCATGTGCGTCTTCACGGCGTTCGTACGGAGCTCCCACTACGTTGTTGGAGATCTCACCGCGCTGCTACGGCGATCATACTACGTTTCTACGGCGTTCTTGTCAGACCGCGATCACACGGCGCGTACTTTGTGCATGCCCAAAGTGATCGCCGTCCCCTGGCGTTCTAGGAGACCCTACGCGACCCTACGGCGTTCAGTGGAGATCTCGTCGCGTTGTCACGGCGCTGTAGGAGACTCTACTGCGATCACCTCGGCGTTTTGCATTTTTTGAGGACGCCGTGCAGTCGCCGTGAGGACGCAGCCCCGGTGTGACAGGGGTTTAATAAACCGTTCATAGATTCTGTCTAGACCAACATCCCCCTTTACGAAATTATTAGATCTGCTCTAAAATAGTATAAAAATAGTAATAACATACGAAATCTTTTAGGAATAGTCACATACTAGTCGCTTGGAAGAAAAAAATTAAATTTTTCTCAAGTTTATGATCAAAACGATTGAGGATATTTAAATAATATGTAACTTTAGGAATTTTTGGAAATTGAATTAGACGTAGTCGACGTCATTACGTTTTCAGTGAGTAACGTCAAAGTTGTTTTGGCGCGTCTTATACTAAAATGCTTATAGAACACTGAAAAGGTGAGATATTTTCAAAATTTATGTATTTGCATTTAGAAAGAGCCCGGCTATCAAAATTTACCAAAAAGGCAATTTATGAAAATTTGACCTTAAGGGCCCTTTTCTCGTGACGGCAGTCATATATTTATTTGGACATGTTGACCTTCGATGAAATCTACAACTGTATAATTATATACACCTTTATCACATAAAAAAAACTTCAAACTTTATCGACACGATAGCACGTAATTCTCTTTGAACAATGCTTTAGGCCGATGAATTATACGTTGATAAAAGGCTTCATAAAGCAAATTTTGTAAATAGCTTGGTTCACTTTGTGCATAAAATGGCCCTGTAGATATACCAATTCATTGATTAACACTTGATGTTCCATTTAAAGCATTAGAATGAAATATTGATTATTTCCTGTTAAAAATTTTCTTCTAAAAGTCCTGGTCTGGGAGAACTAGCTGTATCAAATTGCAATGTTCTTGAATTTAAAAAATACACAGGTACATTTGAGTACTTTCAGTGAAGAAAAAAATATTACCTCCAGCGCACTCTCTGATTTTAAGAATGATATACAATGAAGCGCATTGAAGTGGTAAAATTTTCCGTTTGGATGAAACGTTTTGAATCATGTTTTGAACGTCAATTACAACATAATGACACGCCCATTTCTTTAGAAATGAGAAAGAAATATTCGTCGTATAATGTTTTAGGACACCCCATTCTTCGCGACAAGCAATATGAGTTACACTGAAATGGAGCTTTAAAAAAAAATTAGAAGAGAGAGTTAGAGACTCTCCGCTTCTGTAGAACACAAATTGTGACGAATATGTACATATTTTTGAACTTATCATGTCTATTGAAGTTACCACATGTTTACTCGATATTTATTTAGACCGTCAAATTCAATGGCTGTTTTATTTATGGAAAACCTGTTCTACAGGTATTCAAATAAACAAATTTACCGTTTTATCCATTTCTAAAAAAATGGGAGTGTCATAAGATGAAAATAAACGTTCTAAAGATAGCTCAAAAAGTTCCATTCGAACGGAAAATTTTACCACTTTAATGCGCTTCATTGTATGTCATTTAATCCTCAGAAAAAGTTCTTTTATTTAAGAGCTGCATATTTTAGATCAGAGGTTGCGCTCTATATAAAATATCGAAAAATAGCTTTAAAAATCGCCTGTTTTCGTAAACTTTTTCAGAATATCCCCCGGTATGAGGAAATTGACGCATTAAATGACGTCATAATACATTGACTAGCCAGAAAATTACGTCATTTTTGATAGATACGCAATCATCAAAGATCTAAATGATATTTAATGCAAATCAAGCTGTTTCAGTTTTTCAGAAATACACAGGACCAAATAAGGCCATAAGTGAAACGTGTTCTTTTAGCATAGAAATAAAAGAACATCAATTTTAATATTCCTTTCATAAATCTCAAAAAATAGAATTAAAAATTAGTTTCCAAGGGACAATTCAAGTTGCTTTTTATTTTCAACATATCTGAGTACTTGTAGTAGTCCATTATGCTTTGCGACTCATTCATCAGTAGGTAAAGTAAACAGATAGCTAATTTACATTCAAATTTATGATGACGCCAGAAAATCTAGTCGTCTCGACCTTTTAAATGACTGATATTGCCTCTCTTTCGTGTAAATCTGGCAAGGTCAGTCTTAGTTTTAAAATTTCAAATCAAAACGAAAGTAATAAATGAGAAGGTGAATATAGTGAATTCTGGTCAAGTTGTTTGATATATCAGAGAAATGTTTCGAACAAAATAGTATTTAAGGTGAGTGATTCTGCACACTCTAAAAAATAATATGTTTTACATTGTTTAAGGTTTCACCAAATGTCAACGTGTCCAAAAATTTATTTTTACAATTATTTCTAAAACTATTTGGTTTCAAAAATAAAAACTTTTACAGTTTATAAATATATATAACATAATGATTAACAAATAGAAAGTATCATTTGATAACAAATACTTAATTAAAAATGAATGTTAATCGAGAAAATTTTTTTTAAAAATGCAAATACTTTTGCAAAATACACCTAAGTACATCCGAACTTTAAGTGAAATTCATCATTGCATAAACAAAATATGTTAATCAATGAAGGTCAAGTACATGTAGGACTTCGATAGCTTCTGGAAAGTTGTTTTCCCTGCTTTATTTTGTCCTAATGCTTAGATTTGAAACCGAAAGTACAATGCAAATGGCAGATTTTATAGGGGTTTCATCAAGCTTTCCATAGCAGCCTTTCAGAGACAATTTACGTTCAACTTGTCCTTCATTGATAAACATATATTGTTTCTACAATGATGGTTTTCACCAAAGGTACAGCATTGAACAGGTGCAAAATGCAAAATTTTTGTAAATATTTTTTCTCAAAAAAATATTTTCCAAAATATTTGTTCTCAATGATACCTAATCAATGAAATACCGGTATCTGTACACTATAAAAGATTAAACTTTATACCTTACATAGTTTGGGGGCTATTGTAAAAATAAATATTTGGATATGCTGACCTTTGGCGAAACCTGAAGTACCTTAATCTAGCCTGAAAATCACTATCACAAAAAGTCTCTCAATGAAGTTCTTTAACTTTTTCCACAAGGTCAGCAAGCAAAATGGCCACACCTATCACATGGGCCCAAGAAGTCATCACTTGTGACATTTGTAACAATGCTGCCTATCAATTTTGTAATAGCTGCCAGGTCAATCTCTGTGGAAACTGCATCAATAAACATGTTGATGCCCATAAACTACTTCCACATGACATTGTTCCGTTTACCAAAAGAAATGTGAAAGAGGTCAGTCAGCAATGCGAATTACACCCAGGTCAGAAATGTGAGGCGTGCTGTCAACAATGTGACGTAGTAGTCTGCATGAAATGCGTCATTACTTCGCACAAAACCCACAGTATCGAGGAAATTCCAGCTGATTACTATGACAACATTGAAAAGATTTTGTTAGAGTCAGAGGAACTTCAGAAGCAACTGGATTTTGAGAAACGGCAAAGTGCCGCAGACAAATCAAATACATGCATTGCAAAAACAACAGCAAAATTTGAAGAGATTGAAAGAGAATTAGAAGGACACCAAATATGCTGGCATCAGGAAGTAGATAAAATCTTTGAAAAACATCAAAATTCAATTAAATCCATGAAGGACAAGGCGATAAAATCCCTTACCGAAAAAAATCATGAATCAAGAAGTATAACCGAGAGTATGATCCAAACTATTAAAGAAAACAAAGAAATCCTTAGGTCCAAACCAGTCTCCAAGGTTGTCAACTACAAATCAAAACTCCAAGAATACAAACCTACACCTGAAGGAATTAATGTAACCATTCCTTCCTTAAAAGTAAAAAAAGATCGAGGAAAAGAACTAAGCATAGAACTTGGAGAATTCAAAGCTACACTAACACAGACATTGCTTCTTGGTATAATCAAAGACGTCCCCGTCTTGTCTGCGTCAGAATTGCTTGGGAAAGGCAGAGTGATTGCTGATATTCAGCATTTACCGAAGTGCGAGTATTTTCATACAATAGCTTGTGCTGGATCTGATGAAGCATGGATTGAAGTTGGTTGCGAACTAATTCTACGATTGGACATACGTGGGTCTGTAAAAGAGTCTATCAGCATTTCAAAGGACCTAGCTGACATCTCAGTGACTAAAGAAGGAGAACTGATTTACACTGAATTTTTCGGTAAAAATGTGAATATTGTCAGACGTAATATAACAAAACCACTGATAAAAGCACCCGAGGGCTGGAAGCCATGGGGACTTTGCTGCACCGATTCAGGCAACATCCTTGTCGACCTGATATCTGACGATGCAATCTATGATCACAAAATAGTTTGTTATGCCGGACAGAAAACAAAGCAAGAAATACAGAATGATTCAAAAGGAGTTCCTATTTTTCGAAGAGGAGACTTTGTAATATATTTAGCTAAAAACAGAAACGGGGATATTTGTGCCTCCGATGGAAATGCAAAGAAAGTGGTTGTCATGGATGCGAAAGGGAATGTCAGATTCCGGTACCATGGTTATGAAGCAAATAAAAAAAAATATTTTTGTCCAGAGCAAATTGCTACTGATTCCATGAGTCAAATTATTGTGACAGATCACAACAATGATTGCCTGCATATTCTGGATCGAAATGGACAATTCTTACAATGCGTGGATGACTGTGGATTAGATACACCAGGTGGTTTGAGTGTGGACAGTAAGGGTAGGTGTTGGGTCGGTCTGCGTTTTGGAAAATTGAAAGTGATTTCATTGAAGATGTAAACCTGCAGGAGAGATGGTGATGAACTACAGCAAAACTCGGTCATAACGAAGTCACTGGGACCTATGAAATTACTTTGCTATATCCGTAATTCGTTATAACCGTATAAGAAATTCATTTAATTCATATAGCTGGGGATCCAAGATGACTTCGCTATATCAAATTCGCTATAACCGTGTTCGTACTAAACGAGTTTTGCTGTATAGCAATCGTTCTTATCAGCAAAAAGCTTCAGATAATACTAGTATATTTTGTGAGATAATAGATTGAATCATAATTTTAGATCTTCCAAATAAGATTTCCTTTAACAATCTGTGTTTGTCATTAGATGTGACAGTAGAGTACTTATACAGTTCTGCATTATCACTGCTTGCATGACAAATAAAAAAAGTTATACAGTTATCAAAAAATATCTGAATATCGTCAAAAATACATATTTGCGAAAGTTTAAAACTGCAGTAATTCTTATCTTTGCTATGGATGTGATGAGAATTAAGACATTTCCTGATGTGCAGTTGGATCACGGCTTTTTTCCTCTTTGTATTTGAGAGACTGGTGACCTTAGATTTAGAGAAAATTGTAAAAAAAAAAAAAAGAAAAAAAAAGGGAAGAAAAAAAAAGACTAGTGTCTTTGAAGAATTGCACTAAATTATAATTATCCGCTTATACTAGTATTGTTTATAGGAGTGATGTATATTTAAACAATAAAATCCTTTCTTTGTTTTTTATTACTGGAATTAACGGAAGCAGCTGTTGCAGAAAAAATACATAACCCGCGCAAGCGGGATTTGTAATTTTTTTCTGCAATAGCTGCGACCGTTAATTCCAGTAATAACAAACAAAGAAAGACATCTTATTGTTTATATTTATATTTGTTTAAATAATCATTTAAAGTAGGATTAAAAAGATGAATTATTGTATTAATGATGCGAACGTCTTTATACGTTACATTGATGGAACAGCCACTGATCAAGAAATCTGTACAGGCGACATGTCTAATCATGTAGTTCATGTAGTGATTAACGCAATGGGTTTTCTTAAGAAATAAAGGAGAAAATATTCAGTGGATGTAAATATTTATGGATTTTAAGTGATATTCTCCTCTGAGTGTTAGTATGGCGTTAACTTCATCATTCGGATAATAAATTGAATAATATTTAAGAAACTGGACAAAAACTTTTTCAGTATCCTGAAAATTAGTGGAGTGCAAACATCATGAACATAAAGAATGCGTGAAACTTGAAAAATATGCTATTTTTTGTTTGTTTCATCATATTTTAAGAATACATGTATTTATATTTCTTGTGAAAGCTATATATTTTGTATGAGATTCCATGATTTGAAATTTATGCTTAGAAAAGTCTTACAACATACGTCAAAAAAACCCACTCATTTACCTTTAAAAATTTTGTCGTTTACCTTTTTTGCACAAAATTATTGCGGCTGTGGTTTATATTGACTCTACAACGAGGGGGAAAATTCTACTCTGAGAAAGAAAGAGGGAGGGGTTGCTCTAGTGTGAGATTTCCCCTCGGGGGCGGGGGGGTCCTTTTCTAGAATACAATTTCCGGGGGAAGGCTTGGTATGGGGGAAATCCTACTGTACACCGGTAGTTCTTATATAATATTTGGGAATAGACCTGTTCACTCGTCAAGAAGATGTATGTCACATTCATCATTTTATACAAGTATTAAAAGTTTGCATTCTTATATATATGTATCATCTCTGCATATTTAATTGGTCACCATAGCAGTTATAGATGTTATATTTAGAGTACGAGTTTCCTACTGTATCAGAGATACAGGGCGGGGCTTGAGGCGAGAGCGATAGCTCGAGCCGGGCCCCGCCCTGTATCTCTGATACAGTAGGAAACGAGTATTCTGAATGACTTGTGACATGACCTTTCTTATGACCTCACTAATTTACATGCGTATTTGGGTACTTATCTATCAACCAATCAGATGATTTTGCAGAAAGTTGATAGAATATCCCATTTTACTTAAGCAATCGCAACTGAAAGCGAGGTGGACGTGCAGGTATCTATTAATTTAAAACATTTAGAATTATGAAATGCATTATATAATTTGTTTTCCATGGAAAAAATTAATTTAGATTTGATTACGTGTATAGGTTTTTTTTACTCTTTTCAGTTCTTGTTGATATACAGATTTTTTTTTATTAAAGCTACAATTTCGTGCCCAAAAAAAAATTAATATATAAGAATCATGTGGGAATATTTTTGAAAGAAAAATGCTTCGGGGAGATCGTATTCTGAGAGAAATGTCCTACCAGATAAATGTAAAAAAGGGGGAGTGCTATTCTGAGAGAAATGTTCGACAATGTCATCCACCGGTCGTCATAATCATATACAAAATTAAAATAAACAGATGAAAGGAAAGGGGGGCATTTACCTTCATGTTTTACTCAAATGTAGAGTAACCAAAGGGGGATTCAGCACTCACAGGTGCGCGTCGGTATGCCCCCACCCCCTTCGAGCTTTTTCTTTTTTAATTTATCACAAGAAACGATATCACGCACATGGTGTCTGGGTTGATTATTTATCTACCCCCACGAAAAACGATTTTCCATTTTTTTATTGGGCGGGGGGGGGGGGGGGGGGGTTACGTGTAAAAGTAGTCATTTGTGAACAGCCAAACTCCCACCATTCTATTTTTTGAATCCGACACTCATAACTTTACGTTCACGGTGTAATTTTTTTTTCTGAATTCACCTCAAATATGTAAATACTAAGTGCTATCATGCGAATTGAACGATTGTTACGTCTGTCTAGTCTACGGTTACAGCTTTCCGTCATCGCTAAAAAAAAACCGTACTGTATCATTGATATTTTGCAGATACAGTACAGTTTCTGCTCATTTGCATAAGAAACGCCCACAAAAAGTGTTCTGTATCGCAGTTACAGAACGGTTGACTTCAAAGGGAAACTCGCCGGGTCATGTCACAAATATGGAGGTAACGAACGTTATTCAAGATCAAAAGTCTATAAATCAATATAAAATAGAACCAAATCAACCACGGATCTCCAAAACATCAGAGGTGGGATAAGGTGCCATGTAGGAGTTTGAATCCCCTGCCGACCGGTCACACCCGTCGCACGCTCCTTGTCATGATCGGAAAATAACAGAGGGACATGGAGATAACGAACAGTATTCAATCTCAAAGTCCATTAAACAATATACAAAATAAGAGCAGAGCAAACACGGACCTCCGAAACATCAGAGATGGGATCAGGTGCCATGGAGGAGTGGGCATCCCCTGCCGACCGGTCACACCCGCCGTGTGCTCGTTGTCATGATCAGGAAATAACGGAAAAAATCCGTCGTCAATTCAGTGTATAAACAATGGACTAACAATTGGTATGAAAAACGTCAGTCAGCATTTGACTCAATGATAAATTGTATTTGCTGACAAGGTCATTGTATCGACCATAGAACTTACGAAATGATGACTTTAAACGAGACTGCTGATATTCTTGTTTCATCAACTTGCTTGTCAATAATTTACCTCGTTGAAGAAATTGTTCATACGTAGAGCATGCTCTTGCGTATCGATTCAACTGAGATATATATACTCCGTATGCAGGTGATGAAGGTATATTGCTGCATAAGTAAGGGAAGTTGACGATAGAAAAGTTAAAGTCATCACGTTTATCATATAGCTTGGTTGTTAGATTATCATTTGTGTCTTTTTCGAGTAAAATATCCAAATATGAAGCAGAAGTGTCGGACTCTGTGGTATCTTTTATCTCAAGCTCACCAGGATATATCGTATCGACGTAGGAATGGAAATTATCATTATTAATTGACAATACGTCGTCGATATATCTAAATGTCGAGTTGAAGGCCACAGCAAGTGTTTTCTTCTTTTCACGCATAAGATTTTGCATAAATTCTGCTTCATATGAATATAAAAATAAGTCTGCTTATAACGGAACGCAATTTATACCCATGGGAATTCCAATAGATTGTTGGAATACCTGGTCTCCAAAAACCACATAACAGAAAAATCCGTAGTCAATTCAGTGTGTATAAATACTGTACTTGCTATTAGTATGAAAAACTTAGTGACTCAATGACAGGGTCATTGTATCGACCATAGAATGTACGAAATGATGACTTTAAACGAGACTGCTTATATTCTTGTTTCATCAACTTGTTGTCAATAATAAAAAATTGAACATACGTAGAGCATGCTCTTGCGTATCGAATCAACTTATATATAAACTTGATATGTAGGTGATGAAGATATATTGCTGTACAGGTAAGGGAAGCTGACGAATGAAAGTCATCACGTGTATCATAGAGCTTGTTTGATAGATTACCATTAGGCCATTCCAAGTTTTTTCTCTGTTTAGCGTCCACCCATCTTTCAAAAACCTACCTATCTATTCGCAAAAAACACACAAGCCAAAACATAAAACACAGGCTTAAAAGTCATAAAAATGACACCCTTCAAATGATTTGATCTGACTAAACTGTTTTAATAGAAGAAATATCTATTCTGAAGCAAAAACAAGGGATTAAATGCTTAAAATACACCCAATATAACAAAAATTTCGACTAAATTAATCAATTTCATGACTCCTGATGTTGTGTGTTTCTTCTTCTATGGGGTGTCATAAACCAAGGCGCACGCGGACGCTAAACATAGAAAAAACTTGGAATGGCCTTACGTTTTTTCCAAGTAAAGTGAACAAATATGAAACAGATGTGTCAGGCTCTGTGGTATCTTTTATCTCAAGCTCACCGGGATATATCGTATCGAGATAATGGAAATAACCATTGTTACTTGACAGTAAGTCGTCGATATATCTAAATGTCGAGTTGAAAGCCACAGTAAGTGTTTTCTTCTTGTAAACAATCTTTGTACTAACTTGCAACTACCAATTAGCATAAAGTAACCATTTGCTTCACTACGTTTTCCTTCTGTCTGACACAGAGCGAGGAATTCTTAGCAGAAAAATAGAGCTTTCCTGTAAGCACTTCTTCGATGTATGATAATTCAGCTTCCCCAGTAAATTCTTAATTTCGTTTACGGCTGTTTCTTTCTGGAAATAATATCTTATTACAATTTTAAGGGCTATCTAATACTGTCATATACTTTAAAATTCTCTTGTTTTTTTTTCTTTTGGAAAACATAACAAATCAGAACATCATTGTTTTTGTTTATTCTAATTTAACTCCACCTCACAAAGAAGTCAAAATCAACAAATTATAAAATTCATTTTACTCAAACCAATATGGAATCATGAATATGAATCAAACTCTGACAGGTGTGGGTCATTGTCTTAAAAAAAAATGATAAATAAACCCTAAATCCTAAATGTTAAGAATAATCCATCTCATAAATACAGCTAATAAAAGTAATACAGTTATCCAATATTTTCTGAATAACGTACGTCAGATACATATACTGAGTATGCTGAAGTTTATAACTGCATCCTCCCCTTTGATTTGGATGTGATGAGAAGATATTTCCTGTTATTATACCTATGTGAATTTGTTCAATATAAAAACATGACTGTGAAATATTTGTGTTTTAAGACCCCCCCTCTATATGTCATATGTGTATAATTAGTTTGTAATCATTATTTGTACATGATTTCTCTTACAGCAATTATATTTGAACTGTAAACATTACTATAGAGTGTGCTATAAATGATGTTTGGTAATTCCTATTATTTCATGTTTGGTAAATCCTACACTTTCATATTTGGTAAATGACCAAGTTTACCACGGAGGAAATATGGACTGATACGTAAAATTATGGACTCTTATGATTGAAACAGTATTTATTATGAATGTTTATTTCATTTAACTTACAGTATATCGTTTAAATTAATCGTAAATACCGTTTTTCATGTGTGTTTGTCGATCACGTTGTTTTCCTTTTTGGTCATGGCGATTCGGAAGATTCTAATTTACAAGGGGGGTTTAGGTTATTGTTCTCCGTCCTCGAACGTCATTATTTTATTATTGTTAACTTATACGCAACTTGTATTGTACATTTTTATGCAACTTACCTTCATTGTTTATTACTATGTATTTGTTTTACGATTCGGCGTCACATCGTTCGTATTTTCCATGGTTTGTCCCACTTCGGCGATGTTGTTAGTATCGTCTGCCATTTTGGTCTATACTTTCTTTTTGGTTAAGTAAAGCGCACTGCGCATGTCCGGTAGTTTACCCTATATAAGCGTCGCCACGGACGCTGAAGTTTCAGTTTGACTCTGCAGAACGTCTGCGCAACAACTTTAATAGAATTTGTACGTAAACACTGATATAACTAACGGTTGGGGAGTTTTTACTATAGATTATATTGACCAAATAGATTTATTAAGGAATTCAACAGTCTCTTTGAAGTTTTACCATTGTGTACATTTGACCAAATTGATTTATTACGGAAAATCAACAGTCATCACTTTACCAAATCATAATAACGTTACCAAATCATAATAGCGTGACCAAATCATAATTATGTGACGTCCGGTCTGACCAATTGTATTATCACCACTGTTTATTTGGTTTTTCCAGTCATCAGTATTACAGTAACTGTTATTCCTTTATTAAATTATTGCTGAAACTTGAATTTTCTTATGTTGTGCTCTTGTTTGCCTCTGCAATGCAATATTTTACTGACCAACACAGGGATTTATCTTACCAAATCAACCAGGATTACCAAATAACAAATTACCAGGAAGTACCACATATATTGGTTACAATGAAACATATCTCCTTCATTGGAGATTTGATCAATTATAAAGCCTCATACCTTGGGCACGTTACAGAAATGTGAAATATTTGTGTTTTAAGACCCCCCTCTATATGTCATATGTGTATAATTAGTTTGTGACATGACCCGGTGAGTTTTCCTTTGAAGTCAAGCATACTGTAACTGCGATACAGAACACTTTTTGTGGGCGTTTCTTATGCAAATGAGCAGAAACTGTACTGTATCTGCAAAATATCAACGATACAGTACGGTTTATATTTAGCGATGACGGAAAGCTGTATCCATATACAGACATACCAATCGTTCAATTCGCCATAGAACTGTTAGTATTTACTCAAAAATTGAGGTGAATTAAGAATAAAATTTTACAACGTAAAGGTATTATTGTCGGATTCAAAAATTTTAGAAAGGAGGAAGTGGGGCAGTTCACAAATTGTTACCTTGACCCCCCTCCCCCCCCCCCAAAAAAAAAAAAAACGGAAAATCGTATTCCGTGGGGTTATATTTATAATCAACCAACACCTATGTGCGTCATTTCGTTACTTGTTGACGAATTAAAAAGCGTATGTATACAAGATTAGGAAAAAAAATTATTTACGAAAGCGAAAAAGAAAAAAAACTCAAAGGAGGTGGGATGGGGGCACCAGTGAGTGCTGTATTCCCCTTTTTATAGTTACTCTACATTTTAATGAAACATGATCGTAAAATACCCCCCCCCCACCTTTTCCTTTCATCTGCTTATTTCAATTTGTATATGACGACCGGTGGAGGACATTGTCGGACATTTCTCTCAGAATCTACGATCTCCCGAAGCATTTTTGTTTCAAAAATATTCCCACATGATTCTTATATATCAAAATGTTTTGCATTAAATCGTAGCTTAAACTGAAAAAAAAAATGTCAGCAAGAGCTGCATAGAGAAAAAAAAAACCCCTGCGCAATCAAATCTAAATAAAATTTTTGGAGAACAAATTAATTTATGCATCCCTTAAATAATTATTTTAAAATGATAGATACCTGCACGTCCATCTCACTCGGCATTTCAGTTGCGAATGCTTAAAATGGGATACTAAATCGACTTTCTGCAAAATCATCTGATTGGTTGGGAGGTATGTACCCAAATACGCATGTAAATTAGTGAGGTCCTTGGAAAGGTCATGTCACAAGTCATTTAGAATACTCGTTTCTTTTATCAGAGATACAGGGCGGGGCCCGGCTCGAGCTATAGCTATCGCTCTCGCCTCAAGCCCCGCCCTGTATCTCTGATACAGTAGGAAACTCGTACTCTAAATAATACTTGTAATCATTATTTGTACATGATTTCTCTTACAGCAATTATATTTGAACTGTAAACATTACTATAGAGTGTGCTATAAATGATGTTTGGTAATTCCTATTATTTCATGTTTGGTAAATCCTACACTTTCATATTTGGTAAATGACCAAGTTTACCACGGAGGAAATATGGACTGATACGTAAAATTATGGACTCTTATGATTGAAACAGTATTTATTATGAATGTTTATTTCATTTAACTTACAGTATATCGTTTAAATTAATCGTAAATACCGTTTTTCATGTGTGTTTGTCGATCACGTTGTTTTCCTTTTTGGTCATGGCGATTCGGAAGATTCTAATTTACAAGGGGGGTTTAGGTTATTGTTCTCCGTCCTCGAACGTCATTATTTTATTATTGTTAACTTATACGCAACTTGTATTGTACATTTTTATGCAACTTACCTTCATTGTTTATTACTATGTATTTGTTTTACGATTCGGCGTCACATCGTTCGTATTTTCCATGGTTTGTCCCACTTCGGCGATGTTGTTAGTATCGTCTGCCATTTTGGTCTATACTTTCTTTTTGGTTAAGTAAAGCGCACTGCGCATGTCCGGTAGTTTACCCTATATAAGCGTCGCCACGGACGCTGAAGTTTCAGTTTGACTCTGCAGAACGTCTGCGCAACAACTTTAATAGAATTTGTACGTAAACACTGATATAACTAACGGTTGGGGAGTTTTTACTATAGATTATATTGACCAAATAGATTTATTAAGGAATTCAACAGTCTCTTTGAAGTTTTACCATTGTGTACATTTGACCAAATTGATTTATTACGGAAAATCAACAGTCATCACTTTACCAAATCATAATAACGTTACCAAATCATAATAGCGTGACCAAATCATAATTATGTGACGTCCGGTCTGACCAATTGTATTATCACCACTGTTTATTTGGTTTTTCCAGTCATCAGTATTACAGTAACTGTTATTCCTTTATTAAATTATTGCTGAAACTTGAATTTTCTTATGTTGTGCTCTTGTTTGCCTCTGCAATGCAATATTTGTACTGACCAACACAGGGATTTATCTTACCAAATCAACCAGGATTACCAAATAACAAATTACCAGGAAGTACCACATATATTGGTTACAATGAAACATATCTCCTTCATTGGAGATTTGATCAATTATAAAGCCTCATACCTTGGGCACGTTACAGAAATGTGAAATATTTGTGTTTTATAGACCCCCCTCTAGATGTCATATGTGTATAATTAGTTTGTGACATGACCCGGTGAGTTTTCCTTTGAAGTCAAGCATACTGTAACTGCGATACAGAACACTTTTTGTGGGCGTTTCTTATGCAAATGAGCAGAAACTGTACTGTATCTGCAAAATATCAACGATACAGTACGGTTTATATTTAGCGATGACGGAAAGCTGTATCCATATACAGACATACCAATCGTTCAATTCGCCATAGAACTGTTAGTATTTACTCAAAAATTGAGGTGAATTAAGAATAAAATTTTACAACGTAAAGGTATTATTGTCGGATTCAAAAATTTTAGAAAGGAGGGAGTGGGGAAGTTCACAAATTATTACTTTGACCCCCTCCCCCCCAAAAAAACGGAAAATCGTATTCCGTGGGGTTATATTTATAATCAACCAACACCTATGTGCGTCATTTCGTTACTTGTTGACGAATTAAAAAGCGTATGTATACAAGATTAGGAAAAAAAATTATTTACGAAAGCGAAAAAGAAAAAAAACTCAAAGGAGGTGGGATGGGGGCACCAGTGAGTGCTGTATTCCCCTTTTTATAGTTACTCTACATTTTAATGAAACATGATCGTAAAATACCCCCCCCCCCACCTTTTCCTTTCATCTGCTTATTTCAATTTGTATATGACGACCGGTGGAGGACATTGTCGGACATTTCTCTCAGAATCTACGATCTCCCGAAGCATTTTTGTTTCAAAAATATTCCCACATGATTCTTATATATCAAAATGTTTTGCATTAAATCGTAGCTTAAACTGAAAAAAAAAATGTCAGCAAGAGCTGCATAGAGAAAAAAAAAACCCCTGCGCAATCAAATCTAAATAAAATTTTTGGAGAACAAATTAATTTATGCATCCCTTAAATAATTATTTTAAAATGATAGATACCTGCACGTCCATCTCACTCGGCATTTCAGTTGCGAATGCTTAAAATGGGATACTAAATCGACTTTCTGCAAAAT